CCACACGTGAACAAGACGTTGACCAAAAACATGGAGATCAGGATCATATAGCTGAATCGCAGCACCTTGCTGTACATGATCTTGACTCCCACCGTCTGCAGTTGCAAGTCCATGGTGTGGAACTTCTGCAGACACCTCTCCAATCGATGATTGGGTACAAAGGCCGTCAAATATATGACCGTAACTCCAATGAAGCCACTCACAATCTGCATCATATCCCCGAAGTAGGTGATGCGTGAACGAAAGAAATAGCTGGCCACCGACTCGCAATTGTTGTATATAGTTAGGCTATAGGCGAAGACAAAGACAACGATGTGCATGGTGCCGTTAATGTAGCCAAAAATGGTTTTCTTGATGGTCCTTTTGCCGGTCTTGCTATCGCAGCTGATGTAGAAGGATGTGAGGCCGTGTATATAGGTCACATGGAAAACCGGACGGAGGCACTCATAAAGCGATTTGGCGGTAAAAAGCCGCCGAAATCTTCGGCGCAGGGGCTGGCATAGACCAGAACCCACTTCTATGTCCGGAGTATCGGCGGGATCCACCGTTTCCTTGGCCGTTTCTATATCCATGACCGCTCCGCTTGAGCTTCAACCGGCGACTGACGCCAGGGACCGCAAATGATTTGCATTTTACCAGGACTCATTGCGGGTGGGGTCGGAAAAGTAAATAATTTTCCCATTTTTATATGTACAGCACAGGTCTAGACAAGCTGCTGTCCGCTTATGTTCCGACCATTAACCTATTAGCTTTAGCTGTTGCATTTTAATTAATGGCGTTACCCGCTGGGGAATTATTTCCCCAGGGAAATCCAACGATTTCCCCACACAAAAAGGGAATTTTTTCGTGTCTCTATTTAGATCAATGAATGACTGGAGACCACTTTTATACTGCCCGTCGCATAAGCCTAATTAATTTCATGGTTTCCATGAATTACCGAAAATGAATTTATGTCAATTGTTCGGCAGGATATTATGTCGGGTCCTTTGGCAGATGAGATTTGGTTAGAAGCGTAAGAATTAAGGCCATCAAAAATGACATCGAAAATTACTCATTCGTTTTATTGGTTATGGGGGGCAAATGAGTTCTTTAGTTGATTTGAAGAAGGCGTAAAAGAAAGCAATATGTTTGTGAATTTATGCAAATTTCGCAGAAAACCTTGGAATTTGAATGATTTTATGTTCAACTTATTCAAGGGAAAGTTCAACTTATGCAAGGGAAAAATGGAATACATTTTTTTGTGAATACCAAGTTAAAGTCTACTTTAAAGGTGTTACATCTTTTAAAGTTTAAGAGATGGGTTATTATTTTAAAATATGAAATTTAGACAAAATTGTTTTTGTTGGTTAGTTAGTTAGTAACAACTAAAAGCATATAAATGTGCTTCTAAAAAATACAATTTAAAGAAATGCCTTGAAGTAGGCAATCGATTTGAATGTATGCTATTCCCAAAAAACTATTGACTTGCTTAATAAAGAAATATAATCCACTTTGCCGCAGACCTGTTGACCAAATAGTCTAGGCTTTGTTATTTGTTTTTCGCCCCACCTCCAAAAAGCAAACTTAATTACTAAATATGTCAAAGGGAATCATGGCAAGCGATCTAGTTCGATTATGTCTTCGACCCTCCTGTGTGTAACCATGGTTTTACATAAATTAATTTTCACACTTGATTTGTGCTTGAGTAATAAAGGCGATGATAGCAGCGAATCCCCCATTGGAAACCCCGTCACGCATCCCAGACACGCTGTCTCCACCTGCAGGTAAATATTTACCTGTACTTGTTGGTCGTACAACTGATAACAGCCCCCCACTCACCTGATTGATGATACTGAGGCGCCGCTCGAAACTGAAGGCAATCACGCAGAACAAACAAATCGCAATGGAGACGACCGAATGTTGCAGGAAAAATGTCATGCAAACGCAGAACGAGGGTGTGACATCCAGCGAGACGAGCAACCGGAAGACTCCCACGAAATAAACGCCCAGGATCAGGAGCTTGAAGATCAGTACCAGGAGAGAGTACCGAAAAATCCTCGAGTACTTCACCCGTATTCCGATGTTCGAAAAGTTCGTATCCAAGCTGTGCAGAATAGTTAGGGTGCCTAAAAGCTTGCAGCGTTTTAGGATGGCCGAGGTATAAATCACAGCACCAGCTATCAAGCCATTGAAGATCTGCAGACGATCGCCCACGGTGGAGATCTCAGTGCGGAAAAAGTAACCCACAATGGATTCTCCCTGTCTCAACGATGAAATATAGCAGAATCCGCAAAGGCAGATGTATATGAAGATGTTAAAGACGCCGAAACAGGACATTTTCAAGTAGGACTCTCCCATTTTCCGACGAACCACATGGAAAGGCGTTAGTCCGTATAGAAAAGTTAGAAAGAACAGAGGACGCAGTGCCTCGTAGACCTGTGACGATATAAAGTATTTGCGCACCCGACGTAGCGCCGACATAACGATGAAATCGAACTTATGTACACCGGAAGCGGAAATGAAAACGGAGCCAAGCGAATCGCACAACCGTTCGAATGAAAGTGTCAGCGCGAACTGGCTGGCCAAAAGGGAAAACAGCGACTGCTGGGCGACGGATGCAAACGAAGTGAGCTGAAGGATAATAAAGGGACGAAGGAGGAGTCGAGTGAAGTGGGCTAAAAAGAGGGATATAAAAAAGAAATGCCGGCTGGCGAAAGCTCATTATCGTGTTGTCTAGGATTCACAACAACAAGTGGCAGGCTATGGCAACAAGTGTTATCGTTTTCTCACTCTGTCAAGCTGCCAGTGATGGCAAAGGAGTATTTTAGAAAACTGATTTACTTTGGATTTATATTCCCTTTAATTTATTTTATTGAGAACGACAGAAGTTTGATATTAAAATTCGTAAATATTACAAAAATGTAGAAGGAAATGGCTAAAAATCTTTCCTACCAACAAATAAACCATCTAAATCAGCATCACCGTGTCCTTGATGCCTTGAATTTAATTCAGTTGTTTAGACCATAAAGATATCAGCCCCGCGAGGGTGTGAGTATTCATGTGAGTTTGCTTCGTGACGGGTAATTCATTATCTTCATTATCAAGAGACACTCGAGTAATCGCATATCTGGTCACAATCGATGGGTGGATATGGTATGGAAATGAAGGTGAAGGATACCAAAGGGGGAGTGGTTCCTGGCCATTGCCTTTGCCATAAGCTGATCAGATTTCTCCATTCAGTTCTGCGTCTTGTGTACTGGGAACTCTGATTGACAGGTGTTGAATGATGATTGGGTGAGTGGATATTTCTTACAGATGAATTGGCAGATGTGTGTGCCAATACATCAGGTTTGTCTTAACTTGTGCTGTTTAATTAAATTAGACAAACGCAAAAATACTTCAAATAAGGTTATTACTTGTGTAGTTTTTTCTAAAACTTTTAATATTCCTAGATTACCGTTATTTATTATCGTACTCAGTGGTGGATTGAGGATTTGGTGTGAACATTTTTTTAAAACAAATATTGTTGCATACTTTTCGAATACCAAGTTTCCTTTCACTTTTTAGCCGATATCGATTACACATTATTTTAAAATATGACTCACCTTGTGCAGACAGGTGAACCTCCGTTGGACCGTTCGCGTCATCAGGCAGAACATGCAGATGGTGATGGAAACGCACATGAGTTCGTAGACCATGATAAAGGTCAGCTGCCACGAGGCGTACACCTCCATTTTGGAGAGGCAAACTAGGCAGGTGGTCAGAAGGATGGTATCCACGAGAACGACCGCTGATACGACCAGGACAACCTGGCCGACAACTGTGTTGAAATTGACGGGACTTCGTAAACGTTCTAGTTGTTGATCCACTTGCACCATAGTCTTCACAGATCTTAGAAAGTGTTTTCGCAGGAGCAGCGGGATGATGAAGGTAAATATGGCCACTACTATGCCTCCGATGTCGTGGAGTTTGGTGCTAATCTGGGACACATGATTCTTCATAAAGTAGCCAATTAAGCTCTCGTTACTCATGTTGATGTAGCTGTAGCAATAGGCGAGCAGCAGCCAGCGGGAAATGGCATTTACGAATCCATACCAAGATTGCTCCAAGGAACTTTCGCCCTGCGAACTTCGCCTTACCAAATACGGCGTGATTCCAAGGGCGAACGCAAGGGCCACCATCAGGGAAATGGAACCATAGCAATCCCGGGCACTCAGCCAATAGCGCAGTCGACCTCGGAACCCGCGAAAAGTGTCCACTCCGTAGCGGATCATAGCTAAAATCCGAATAAATTACATTTCCTTCTCGCTTAATTGAGGTTGAGCCATTTCGCTGAAGTGCAGTCCTTATCGCAGATTAAATTGAAGCGATATGGTAATTGCCGTTGTTTGCTCAACCATGGCAACAGGTACAATTGGAATTTCATCAATTGATATCTAACAACGAGGCGATGGAATCATTTCCTAATCTCGATTTGGTCAGGTAATTACCTAGTAAATGAAGGGATATGGACGTAAACCATTACACACATGTTTGAAAGGTTAGAACATAATAGTCACGAAAGAGTCCTGAAGGTGTTTTACGAAAGCATTACATAATGTTATATTCCAATTGCAATCTATTAAGATTTTTTACAAAATAATTCTCGCTTTCCGTTTCCTCCTTTTTAAAAAAGGAACACAAGCGTTCACTTAAAAATAAATAAACTTAAGTTTCAAAGGTTCCGTTAAACAATAATCTCATCACTGCTTTTTGTTGGAAACATACTCTATAGAAAATATTTGGCGAATATCGCTTTGGCACTTGTCTTATTAAATATTCCTCCCAAATAGCAATATGACCTAAAACTTGTAACTTTCGGATAATGATCTGAGCCCTATCGAAACTGTACGATTTTGGGAATACCCTAGTTATTGGTTTCCCTCAGCTATGTATATCGATGTTATATCGATAGTTTACTTGCACCACTGATCGTAAAAGTACAGACGCCATTGTGGAAAGTGTCAAGGAAAGCGCAAGAAATGCCGAAGGAATTGTATGTTGGTCCGGAGCTGAGGTCTCCATTACCAAGAACGTCGAACGGGAATAGATGGGTTTTTGGGAAGGAGACAAAGGAGGAGAGAGCACTGGCACTCAGGCAACTCTCTCAACTTCCGGATACTGATTGCCAGATTGAACCAAATAAAACGAAAGTGGTGCGCAGAAAGGTGAACATGTGATAAGGTCATAATGCGTCGTTAAACTACAAAGCAAAAATCTTTTCAGGCCTCTTCTCAAGACCATCCGGAGTTTCAGCTGGACCCCAGCATCACTTCATCACGCCAAGGGCATATTACTTCGTCGAATCCGTTGGAGCAGGATCAGCAGATGCCGCCATCGAGCAGCAGTGTTGACTTACCCAGCCTGCCCACAACATTTGAGATTCCCACGGCTGGATCCTCAAAATCTACTCCTAATGCCCTGGGTACCCAACGTATGTACACTTAAGCAGCCATATTCATGAGAATTGTCCATTCTCTGAATTCCTTAGGTACATATTTGCAAAATATTTAGAATTGTAGAATTATATGTTTTAAAGATTTCACAACAGTTCTTACAGTTGCTGTTAGAATTGTCAAATAAGAAAAAGAAAATCGCACTCCTAACCTCTGGTTATTTTTCATATATTTATTTAGAATCCGGATCAGGAGAATCTACTACTTTACCTAATACGTCGACCCTGGCAACGCTAGCAATGGAACTATGGAGGCCTTGGTATCTGGAGGAAGAAGTCCCTGAACCTTATTTAAGGCGGAATGAAGAGAATCAGAATCATTACAATAAAGTCAAAGAGCCCGGGAAGTCAATCAATGTTGAAGTGACACTAAGGACGAACGAGGACACAGAGCGCAGGATAAACGAGAACTCCGCCTCGGATCAAGCAGATCCATCCACCTTACCACAGAAGGGTAAAAGCGGCCATTGAACTTTTAGTTTCCGCTAGATAATTCCCACAATCTCTTCTAGCTAAAAATATGGAAAATTCGGTGGCGCTTAAGGAGAATCAACAGTCCATAGATTGTTTTACATGGCTGCTTGTAAGCCTCAACGTGCCTTCGAATGCCGACTGGAACCAGTGTGTGGCGATCATCTCAAAAGATCCGCGATATTCAAAGTTCAGGAACCTCCAGGGACGCAAGAAGATCTTCAATGAATACAAAACGCGACAGCAGGGGGAAGAGCTGGTGCAGTTTCTGATGTCCAAGATAAACTCACGGATGACGTACACCCAATGCGAAGAGACATTTGCCGAAACTCCAACATGGATGGAGGTTCCGGAACCGCAACGGCGGGATATATACCAGAGCTGTGTGTTCCATGTAGCCCAACGGGAGAAGAATGAAATAAGACGTTTGCGAAATTTTGAATATAAGGTCAAGGTCAAGTGGCTGAAGGCCGATGTCTCAGTAGCCGCATCCTATGAAGATGCCAAGAAACTTGTGGAAGACATGAAAGACTTTGAGTTGTACGAAAAAGAAATTGGCTTGAAAAAGATCTGGCAGGACTTTATAAGGGAAAGCGAAGATTCAGTGATGCAGTGGTGGCAAAACAAAAAGGACGCCAATCGAGTGCGATCTGATTCGAAATCGGAAATGAAGAACGAACAGGTGGAAGTGGATAAGTCGAAGCGAGCATGTTCCCAGTCAAAATCGGTTAATAACCAGCCACTCGGTGTCAAGGAAATCCAGCAGGATGACTCCAACCCGCATTCACCGGCCAAGAAAAAGAAGATTCTTAACAAGCAGCAGGATCCCAACTAAATGACCATTTAATACATTAAATACACGCGAAACTGAACAAAATGTATTATGAATCTGTATTGTGAAATGTATTAGAATATATAAATATAAACCTAAACTAAAATGCCGACAGAAATCCACATTATTAAAGCTGGGCAAAACGAAATCCAAACAAGAAGATGAGTTTAACTAGTGCTGCCATCATCTTCATCTGCTGCCAGCAAACTGAACAATGCAAACGAGATTGCATAATCTCCCCCCGGCCTAATGAGCTCCCAGTTCCAAGCTCTCAGCCCAACATCGTGCCTCAGTGCAACAAATCATGTGTCTGGCTCAGAATTTTTGTCGCACCATTTGGCCAACAACACATCAACAAGCCGCAGTCGAAACAATAACAGAGTCTCTGCCTTGGTTAAGTCTCCCCAAAAGTGCTGTCTTTGGGTTCGCTTTCGGATGACAATGGCGCCGACGTTAAATAAAATGCATTTTAAGAAGCCACCCAGCTTGTTTGTTTATTTTTCACACGTGCAACGCAATGTAGCACTTAGTTTTTCGTGGAAAAGTACGTGTATATACGAAAGTTGGAATTTGCAAGTAAAATATATAAATCTGAGTGATAAAAAAAGAAGGAAAAGGGGTCGCAGCAAACAGCGATTTCTTACTCATTTAAAGATGCAAAAAAAAAACGGAATAACTTTACGTCTAAGTGAGATTATTTTTTATGCATTGAATGTTGAAAAGAAAAAAGAGGCAAATATTTTTTATCTTATCCTCTTATAAGCCTAAAATAAAATCCAATTATTTATTTAATTTAACGAAAACAAAGACCGCATTCGTTCACCCAAATAAATATTGTCCAAAATTAAGTATAAAAAACAAAACAAAGTAAACCTTTTCCTTGACCAAAACTGAAACCAAACAATTATTTGAACAATTTTAAATTCCAAGCGATGTGATGCGAATTTATTTCAGGGCCAAAAACGTTGAAGGCTTCCTCAATTGACAATAAAAAGACCGACCCAAAAATACTTATAACCATATATAAATGAAATAAATAATTGTTGATGGCGGAAAATGCTTTGGATAATCGTCAGTTGACCGAATCCACAAAGCCGCGCAGAAACCTCTGACATTTTGGCCACCAAATAGTGGCGAAATAGATGTTGGTTTTTGGCGATGGAGAGACGATGAGTTACAGAACCCAAGGTGCCGACGCCACGTGATGCGGTAAACACTCAAAGTCAGTCACTGGGTTATGGTAACCTCAGATATTCATACGTATATCTTGTATGCAAACGTGGTGAACCATCGAAATCTATGTATATTCGACGAGGGAAAAAGAAGTTAATTAGCATCAGCGCCCAAAGTTTATTATGTTATGTTATTGTAATTTATCATTGTTTACGCTTTGTGCCCGCACTTCTTTTTAAACACCATCCAATTTTTTGTATCCCACCTGTCCATGAGAAATATATGTTTAATTATTGTCCAGAATGCCTTAATTAAGTGGTTGTTTTTGGAATTGAAGAAATAAGTTTTTATATTTTCTGCTTATTTTCTTGTTCTATTTTAAATTAACCTTTAAACCCCTAATTTTTTGAATGTAGCGAAACAGACATTTAAAGTCCATTTCATGACTTCTAAAAAAGTAAAATATTATTTGGCAGGATAAAAAAATTATTACCAGTTTTAATTTAGTTTATTCCAAAATTTATCATTTAACATATTTAGTTAATACAAAAAATTTAAAGTTTTAGGGAGTAAATTATAAATAGTAGCCTACATATTTTAATTGCGATTTGAATGAAATTTAAGCTGTCTTAAGAAATGATAAAAAAAATTGTACAGTAAATTGTAACCAACTGGGCAACCTCTAAAATAACCTTCTTCGTTTATAACGCATTAATTGTAATTTGTACGTTATTTGAAAAGGAAACATCGCACTTAAGCTTCGCAAATATTACAAAAACAAACCCATTTTGTAAGGCCAAACATTTCTTGAGCCGCTCGCAATCAGGCCGATAAAGAGTTTTTATGTCAATCTAATGATAACTTTCCTTTGGCAATCGCCACGCAATGCGAATGTTGCGTAACCACAAAAAGCTCAAACAATGAGCCCAATTGTAATTAAAAAGTTGTCTGAAGGCGGCGGGGATCGCGGATGGGAGATGTCAAATGATAGATTAAGCGACCCAATTATGAGTATGTGGCTGCGTGGGATTTTGCCAATTTTGTGAAATATGTGGCAGAGGAAAGTGGAATTGCAGGCAATGGAAAATTGTTACAATCCCACACCGATCGTGAGCATCAGCCGAGGGCCAAAAAATATCAACATCTCGTGCGTTTGTATCTATGAATGTGGATACTACAATGTATGTATATCCATGACGCCTAAGGTCTCTCGTACTTAACTTCATGGTAAGCGGAGTTTTAATTTTTATTGTTGCTCCGCTAGCGAGACCCATTTTTAATTGTTGCTCGCCTCTGGGTAACCCATTTGGAGTGGAGTGCAGATCTAATTGCAGCCACAGCCATGGATATGCCTTTTGGATTGTGTATATTTCAGATTCGTTTGCTTTTTTGTGCGGCGGCCTTTTGCAAGTCAGCGTTCTTCAAGTTCAAGTTCGGGGCTCCATCATTATGGCGATCAGAGTTTGCCGCTGTTCACACTTAATGATTTCACACATCTGCTGCTTCGACTGATTTTGAGATCGGATGTTGGGATGCATAAATCACTTAAACAAATGCGTTCAAAGTCATAGCAAATATCAAGAAATGCAGGCTTAATATGGAGGTCCGAACCTAAAAATACACTAAACTACTCTCTCTGGATTAATAAAACAATAGTATTATTAATTCATACATTCTTCGAAATTAAAAAGGCCTTTTCAAATAATAATCAAACAATTTGAAGGACCAAATGTTTTTTGTTAAAAAATTTTAAGAATATATATTTACCAAGTCTTTATTGTAAATGTTGCATCATAAAAATTTAAATTCTTTTGAAGTAACATTTAAATCTAGTTAAATTTAAATTTTAATGATTTATTCTAATGAAAAAAGCTTACAGGTTTATTACTTCGTTTTTTCTAATGATGTGTTAAAATTGACATTTGGTTTCTCTTTAAGCTTCTCTTTAATTACTATCATATTTTCGCTGTCTCAAGATAGCATTCTTTGGTGCTTTGGAATTAATGACGGTAGTCGTAAGCTCAACAAACCCCCTTGTCCGTTATACCTTTGTCAAGAGTATTTAAAAAAGATGCACTGGTGTCCCGGCAAATTTGAAGCGATATCGAATCGATTTGAAGTTATTGGCTGGCACTCTACCGCACTTCGCAACCGCTGAAAATGCAATTAAATTTAATTTGCCGAACGACTTCACAACGGGTACATTTCGATGTTTTATGTACGAGTATGTATAAAATGCAATTTGAAGATGAGCTCGAGGTGCGTGAGAGGACACTTGGAACAGATCAGAAGCTGATTCGCCTTGTAGGGGTGAACTTGAGCAGCCGCAGCATTGGAGGTGTACACTAAGATAACAACGAATATTATTTAGCAATATTATTGGGCCGAGCACAATGAAAATTAATGAATTCATCTCTTGTGCTCTCATTAGGCAAATCGAGAAATCTCATTAATCAAACTGAGTAGGCCCACAAAGGCAGCTAAAATTCGTTTTTAACAATTTAAACATTTTTTTTAAGCTTGTATTTATTTTTCCATTTTTTGTTGTTGTTTATCTTTATGCTGCCCTTTTTGCTCGCTTCTTCAACACCTTTTGGCTAATGATGAGCAAATTGTGCCGGAAGCAATTTAAGCTCTATTGATTTTATTGACACCGTTTTGCTTTGTATCGGAGAGTCCAAAAAATATTCAATTGTTACATAAATGTAAAAAAACCTTAAATAATTAAATTTAACCCCGGGGGCAATTCGGCTTAGCTCAAGACAATTAAAATAAAATCAAACATAAATGCATAATCATTTCTTTAAACAAAGCTTGTAACGGCTATCGATGAGTTTTGCCTTTTTCACACTTATTTGTTATTTTTTACCAAAGAGAAAAAACAAAAGACTCAAACAGCGAACTTGCTGTGCCAACATGCTCGAAGCTGCAAGATGCACTCCACTCGAAACCGAAACTCCAAACCAGTAGCAGACTGACACATTTATGGCAGCAGTAGCTGCAACTAACTCAATTAGCCATCGAATGCATTCCGAGCTCATCTCCAGCTAAAAGGCCTCCCGCTGTTTATGCCATATTGGCTGCCATCTATTTTTTTTACCTTTACCCGCAGCCCACTCGATCACTCGTTTAAGCCAAGCCTCCAGCCCGGCTTGAGCCGCGTTCGAACATCGAACCGCTGGCGGTTTTTGCTCGTTTTGGTTTGTTCGGCTTTTTGGGGCCAAGTTATAAACCCTGGCAAGATCGTCACTGCGTTCAGTTAGTAAAAGTGAAGCGTTGCGTGCGGTTGTCCCAACAACAATATCTACAACTTGGATTTCAGTACTGTTCCCCGTTCGTGTCGTTCGTTTCAATCAAAAGGTGATTATCACACATCACAGGCTATATCCTTTAAGGACAAGTGACTGCACAAAAGTGTTAAGTTTTTTTCAAGACTTGTGATTTTGCAATCAAACTTTTTAGTTTAAAATACGAGATCAATTATACATCAAGAATTTTGGTTAAGTCAATTTAATTTAAAATAACCATAAGATTACTAATGATTAAATATTCTTTTAGTTTGTGCTAGAATATAGGTTTAGTTGTGATTATCATTCAATTAAATAAATACAAAAACTATTTATGTTTTCTAGACTTTTAAAGATTGTTGATTCTTTTAGTTAAAAACAAAATTAATATAATAAAATTTATTATAGTTCAAATTTCCCATTTTTGTGTTTCAAGTTTTCGCATAAACTTAAAGTATTTAAATTTAAAATATTTATTTTAAAATATTTATTTTTTCGCTTAAAACAGACTGCAGTCTGACGATGACAAATCACATTTTCCTA